GGCCTAAGGTGTTGCGAGTCCCCACATGCCAAAGACAGTGGCAAGCTGAAACACACTGGACTGGCTTGTGCGAGCAAAATCAGCCAGCCGACAGGAGCTGGGCTGCAGGTCAAAAAACTGTGGTCAGAAACAAGGGTCACACAAGGGTCACAGGGACAAGAGGACAGAACTGGGCAAAGGGTCAGGAGACTGACCCCACCTCTTTGCCCCACCCCTGGCTTGGAAAGATGGGATTGGAGGAGAACAGAGTGAAGACAAGCCCATCAGATCCAGAAGCCCTCTCGGGAACATTGGAGAGAAACTGAAGAATGCTGCAAAAGATGATGTAATGACCTGTGTTAAGAAGAATGCTGCATGTAGTGAAAATGACACCAAATGTTTTGTGTTAAACTACAAAGTGTGTATCTGGTAAATGACCCCATGACCTTAAGCTGGTCCAGGAAGGGTATATAAGAACAGCTCTGAACAGCAGAGAGGGATTGAGAGATTCGACAGCAGTTGGGGCAGAGGACAGAGAGGAGAGCAGATGGGGAGGGGTCATCCCCCGTCCAAACTTGGATGGGGGATGACAGAGAGAGAGACTAGAAGGGTTCTTGGGGAGATTCTGAGAAGACAAGAGCTAGTGTAAACTAACTCTTATTTAATCATTTTGAACTAATTCCTCCGTGGGGGATAGCAGTTGTTTTTCACTTTACCCATTTTTTGTATTTTGATTTTGTAATAAACCTTTTTTGAAAAAGAAACATAATCCTGATTCTTTCAGGTTTTCTCTAAAGCTTCACGTTTGGGGCCCTGGCCATAATTGCACAGAGGTAAGCATGTCGAAGATCGGTCTCTGAATTATCAGGACTTACTTTACAGTTTATAACAGAATAATATAAAGAAACCTTAAGATAAGGGAAGTTTTAACTTTCCCCTCCTTGCGAGTAACGAGTTGTCTTAAGGGCGATAAAAGCAAAATATTCGAGGTTATTTTGGCTCTGATTGCAGGTTGAAAAAGTCTCTAATCAGCTGGAAGGTTGGATTAATAAATAAATTGATAAAATTATGATAGCCTGATCAACTAGCATAAATCATTTTATAGTTACCAACCTCCCACATAAGCTGTTAGAGGCGCAATTAATTCCGGGTAATCCAAACAATTGCTGAGAGGCTTGGCTTGCCTCCAGACTTCTCTCTAGTATCTTAACCAAAAGGTAACGAGTTTAAAAGAAGTGTAATACTCTGGGGCTGGCTATTCGTGCAAGTCATTTCACCTTTAAAATAAAAGGCAAGATTCTAATTAGGTAGTCCAAACCCGGGTCTAGTACGATTATACTCGTCGACACACCCCCGAACCCTGATGGATGCACCGTCTCATAAGTTCTAACGGAACTGGGTTTTAAAGGAACCGGTAAATGGGACGGGCACGCGACAAAGGTATCCTGGTGCCAAGAGCACTTATGGACACCTTTATGTCTGAACATGGTGTTCATTATGGACAATCCATGACTGGCACAGAAGTCCATTAACAAAACACCGCTCAAATTCAAATCGGGGGGCCGTTCCTCCCAACCACACCTTTCTAGGTCTCACTGTCGTTGCCCACATGAGCGTTAAAGTCCCCCAGCAGAACGAGAGAGTCACCGGAAGGAGCACTTTCCAGCACCCCCTCCAAGGTCTCCAAAAGGGTGGGTAGTCTGAACTGTAGTTTGGTGCATAAGCACAGACCACAGTCAGAACCCGTCCCCCACACGTAGGAGGAGAGAGGCTACACTCTCTTTCACTGGGGTTAACCTCAATGTACAGGCACCAAGATGGAGGGCAACTCGTATGCCCACCCCTGCTCGGCGCCTCTCAGTGGGAGCAACTCCAGAGTGGTAGAAAGTCCAAAACCTCTCAAGGAAACTGGTTCCAGAGCCAGAGAAGAAGAAGAAGAATATATCATTTCTATAGCGCCTCTCAAGAGAATCACGAGGTGCTTCATAAAAACAAAAAAATGTAAAAATATAAAAAAGCATTTAGAAAATGTTTAAAAATATATTTAAAATGAGCTAAATAGACAATTGTGATAAAAAATGTTAAGAAAGAGAGAGTGAGCAGGAAAGAGGGAAATCAGTGGAACTTGAGGAAGGTGGAATAAGTGGGGAGAGCAGAATAAAGAGAGAGTGGTGAAGAAGGTCATGCAAAAGCCAGCTTGAACAAATTAGTTTTCATCTGCTTTTTAAAGGAGACCACTGAGTCCACTGATCTCAGGTTCAGGGGGAGAGAGTTCCAGAGTCTGGGGGCCACAGCAGCAAATGATCTGTCACCTTTGGTCTTTAGCCTGGTGCGTTGCACAACCATTAGGCTTTGATCACTGGACCTCAGGGACCTGCTGGGTGTGTAGGGACTAAGAAGATCACCAATGTAAGATGGTGCTTGTCCATGTAAGGCCCTTTAGACCAGAACCAGGATCTTGAAATGAACCCTTAAGTTGACTGGCAGCCAGTGAAGCTGGAGGAGAAGTGGGGTGATGTGGGTGTGTTTGGCGGACTTGGTCAGAAGCCGAGCACAGGCATTCTGCACCACCTGTAGATGGTTCAGGAAGGTTCTGCTCAGACACGTGAAAAGAGAGTTACAGTAGTCTAAGCATGAGGAGATGAAGGTGTGGATAACTGTCTCAAGTTCAGAGCAGGACAGAATGGGACACAGCTTAGCAATGTTCCTGAGATGGAAGAAGGAGGAGAGAACAAGAGAACTGACATGAGAATCCAGGGTGAGAGCTGGGTCAAAGGTCACGCCAAGATTCCTGACAGAAGGTTTGGTGTGAGAAGCAAGCTGACCAAGAGAGTCTCTGACTTTGGGAACCAGCTTGTCTGGGGCACAGATGAGGATATCAGTCTTATCTTCATTCAGCTGAAGAAAGCTCCCAGCCATCCAGGTTCTGATAGAGTCCAAGCAGGTGTGTAACAGCTGCAGCTTAGACATCTCATGGGGCTTAAAGGAGATGTACAGCTGGATGTCATCTGCATAAAGATGGTAGGGGATTCCTTTGAAGGAGCTCAGGATGTGCTGAAGAGGAAGCAGATAGAGGAGGAAGAGCAGAGGCCCCAGCACAGAACCTTATGGGACACCATGGGTAAGGGAGGTGGTGGAGGATCTAAACTTGGAGACGGCCACAGAAAAGGAGTGCTCAGAAAGATAAGAGGAGAACCACTCCAGAGCAGTTCCTGATAGGCCTACCCACTCGCTGAGCCTCTCCAGTAGCAGGTGATGGTCAACAGTGTCAAAGGCTGCAGTCAGGTCCAGCAGGACCAGAACAGAACAGTCCCCTGCATCACTGTGAGTCAGAAGGTCATTATGGGCAATTCCCATCTGTACTGGGTCGGCCCAGGCCGGGTAGCGTAGGTTGTTTACATATCTGGGTGGCCTGGTATTTTTCCAGGTCAACCAAGGCTCATTCTCAGCCCTCTTCTCGAGGGGGTCTGCTTCAGGCCGACCAGGGCCAACACACCCACTGCTGACAGCAAATTCACACCTTCCATTAGAGCAAGCCTCTGATTGGTGGGTAGAATCAGCCCACATGGGCTTAAGACAAGGATGTGTGGAATCAACCGGGCCAGGCTGGGGCCGATTGGGGCTACCCGGACCGGGCCGACCCGGTACAGATGAGAATGGCCAGACCCTAAGAAGAGCTGTTTCGGTAGAATGAGCTCTACGAAAACCTGACTGGAAGCTATCATAGATGTTATGTTCATCAGAGCCATGCGTTGAGGTCCCTACCAGAGGCAGAAAGACTCAGACAACTTAGCTCCTATGATCATTGGTGTCAGACCAATAAAGTTTTTCAATTTCAATTTCAAACATGCTTTACAGACAAATATGCTTCTCTTTGGTAGCCTTGACATGTCTTAATAGAAATGTGATGACCTGACTTGAACACTCTAGAGCTTTTAATGTATTATTTTTTTCTTAATAATATAGACTCAAATATAACTTATTTTTCCTACCACAGCAAAATCTACAGGATGATTAATTCAGAGGTGTGTGGTCACATTAATGGCTTTTCCCTCTCTAAGGAGAAAAAGGGAAAGTGGCAACCAGCATAAAGATGACATTTTTCTCCAGGGTATGTTGGCGTTTCAACCGGGAAGTAACTTCTATTGGAATACTGATCATATTTGATTGCCAATACTCAAACTAAAGAAGTAAAAAAGTCTGTTTATATGCCTAACACTAAAGCTGGGTCCACACTGGGGACATCAGTAGAACGTTGCTGCTTCAAATAGAATCCATTGGTTTGATCCAAACCGGCTGTGGCACGGAACTTTTCAGGCAGCAGCTCGCCGCGCTGTACCGCACCACTAAAATTGGATTTAGTTCTATTTTTGCAATGAGCCACATCTGGGATGCGTCATTTTTTGCAATTAACATTAGGGCTGGACAGAAATCACACTTGGCATCAGTGTAAAATGTATATTTCAATATAAAATCTATTGCAATAAATGTCTTATCTATGTAGATAATGTCTGTATGTGTGACCTGACTGCTTATTTACTAACAGTATCTTTCGAGAAGTGCAGCGGTGTGTTTTTTTCATGGGCGTGAGCTACCTTTTTTTTTTCTTTAATGGCAGATAAAGTCTCGATTGATTTGGTGATCTTGCGAGTCCAGGGAGGAGGACAGTGGTTTCGCCGCAGTGTGGACCTGGCATAAACCCAACAGGTTTGCCTCTTGTAAAGAGATATTATTGCTTCTAAAGGAAGTAGTTGTTGCAATTATATAAAACATATATTTAGCTACATGAATATCTCCATATCTTATGTTGAACTGGCAAAGACAAGCACATACTTCCATGTCATTGAGGTATTTTAAACAAAATGTGTGACATGTGTCTACTTTAAGATCAAGTGTCAACAAGTTTCACTGCTATATTAAAAAAACACCTACAGTGCGTCCATGCAAAGAGCTCCCAATATGGTTCATTTTTGGTTTACATTCATTAGTTCCAATCCAAACCCTGGGAGAGAGTGACTCACCGCGGGTGTTGCTGGAGAGGCGTTTGCGTTGGCTGGTTGAGGTGTTGTGTGGAAGCAGGGTGTTCTGCTGGTGGTTGCTGTCGATGGGACTTGTAGCGATGATGTTGTCCTTGTATTTGTTCATCAGGGCCAACTTGGTGTTGTCACTCACTGCAGACAAGTGGGGTGTAATTACAAACACGACGAAGCTGCGACATTAGCTAATAAAAGAGAGGAATGAGAAAGCAGCCACTTGTCCTTTTGCCTCAGTGTTGAAGGTATTAAAGCCGACGTGCGGCGAGGATGTGTTGTTGAAAGAAAAAACACATCAAGCATGTTGTTTATTGCAGGAGAGGTCAAAGAGCTAAATTAAAAGAGAAATGAAAGCTGCCATGAAATTAAAACTAATTAAGGAAAGAAGCAGAATACTTGTAAAAACCAAAAATGTGAAATTAATTCCTGTAAATACCTTTTTTTCATGAAACACATCATCAGTATTGATGTCCTTGAATGAGTTACAGATACACTTTTTTAAAACATCATGCTAGAAGCATTGTTCAAAAGAAACCAACATCAGTCCTTTACCAGAATCATTTAGATTTATCCGATTTTAATTGTTATTTAATTAACCGTTTGGAAGCCTTTAGCAAAGTTACTGTGATTTTAATGAAAATAAATCTTTCTAAGTGCTAACTGTGTGCAAACTTGTTAATCAACTGCTATTAATCATTTTTCACTGATTGGGGCTTTAAGTTTCACATGTATTGGGATTGAATGAATTTAACCTTCAGCTCACTGATTTGTCAGCTCTTTGTTAACTTCAGCTCTTCTAAGAGTTCGCTCACTCATTTGGCTAGAACTGGACTTCCTGTTTCTGTCCCACACCAGGCTGTTAAATACCTGGATCAGGTGTGTTCAGCCAACTAAGCTGCAAGTTCATGCATGGCTGGAAAACAGGCAGGAATGCGGCTCTCTATGACCAGGGTTGCCTACTCCTGGTCAGTCAGTGATTTTTAGACTCGTTGGACATGTGGATCATTTTCTAGATATCTGAGCACTAAAGTGTCTCATCATCTCTGTCTGAGCTGCAGGACTTGAAAAAGGGGAAAGTGTTTGAAATAAGTGTTAAAAGTTTAAAAAAAAAGTTCAACTAAACGTTACGTCAGAAAATGAAAGCGGAAGCCATATTGCACTTGTTGTAATGCAGTGTGGCTTGATTTACATACTTTGCACACACATTGTAATTGTAACCGCAGATATGTGAAATGCGTGAATCTGTCATTTTTGAACATTGGTGATTGTGCTGCAGGTCCATCATTGTGTAACAGAATACACTACAACAAACACGAGTAAAAAGTAAGCACAGACCCGTGTAATTAAACATAGCATTGGTGTTATAAGGACTAATGATGGTGATTATTCCCTGTCAAAACCAGCTAAAAGACACTGTCCATCACCTCTGATGCAGGTGTGTTTTATTCTGGTGAATCCTGTCTGTATGCAGTTTTGTTTATGTGAAACCAGTGGCTGTTCCCTATCTGCTTCATAGTGTACTAGTAAACGTGTGTGAACATTTCCAACACAGGCCAAGTTTCTAATTAGAACCTCTAGGTTTCACTTGTGTTGTGTCATCTAGTTCATCTCACCCTTTGTTCTCATATTGTTTGTTACATATTTACACTTTTAAAGCTTCTTAATTTGTGCGATTTTGATTTTTACATCGCTACACATGACTGCTGTATATATATATATATATATATATATATATATATATATATATATATATATATATATATATTAGGGGTGGGACTTAACATGCTAATTATTATTAATTAATTAGAAAAAAGGACACTTTAATATTTCTTTGTTGCATGATTTCCTCATAGACCTAAAATCACTGACACATACAACACAATGCTGTGGGTACTAAAACGGAATAAAAACTGGAAGAAGTTGTCTTGCTTAGACTGAAGCAGTAGTAGAGAAACACGTGAGTCTCTTCTCTTATCTTCTAAAAAAAACCCTCCCTGAAAACCACGGAGTCCATGTCACAGACATTTATCAGAGATCGTTTCTGCTGCTGCTGCATTGTGGCACCGAAAAATTTACACCAGTAAGCTATATTTTTAACATTTATGTGACATTTGTGCAGCGCTGAAAGCACCAGACAGAATAACTTGTTGCTCTTAACATTAGTTTATGAAAGACAACGAGAGGCACCTGGCTACAGCTGGGAAAATGCTCTGTGTCCTCACTCCTCTGTAAACACTCACAAACGTGTCTAAGTAACAGAAACACTAAAATCTTTCTGATAATTTTCTAAACAAATCTGTCTGTTTATCATGTTACTGAGACGAGTGACTGTCTAAATATCTCATGCGTTACTATCATTCAGCAGGAAGGTGTGTTGAAGCGGTTATCAGCTGATCTGTCACGTTTGTGAGCCAAGAGGAGGTTAAGACCCAAATATGCAGAGATTCCAGATGACACAGGGTTGGTAGAAATAACGTAAAATCCTTTATTACAGAATAAATCCAAAAAGGCAGGGAGCCAAAAACAAAATCAAAAAGTCTTAGTAATAAAACCTAGAGATATCCAAAAATGTAAGACCAAGAAATACCAAAATCTAGAGAGGGGAACAAGACAAGGGTGACACAAACAATGACCCAACAATAAACTTACACGCAGACAGGGTTAAATACACTGGGGCATGATGAGTGGAAGATAAGCTGCGGGTGCGTGGGGAGAGAAACCTGGTGAAAACAATTAACTAATCAGGGAGAGGAAACTAACATGACCTAAGAGCAAAAACCTAAAGACAAGAAGAGCAAGGTGTATAACTGATGTTCTAAGGGGGAAGGAAAACTACAAAAAACGGTGGGGAAAGAAACACTAAAGAGACTAATTAAATGAAAAGCTGAACCTTATAGAAAAACTGCAGAGGGATGACTAGGGGAGACCAACGGGAGCACAGGACCTGGGAGGGATAGTCTGGAGGGGCTTGCAGACCAGGGGCCACATGAGGAACACAAGGAGACACATTAGGGGATCCTTAGAGGGGGATGAAGCACACAAGGAGACACATGAGGGAGACACAGACGCAGACCATGACATGATCGGGAGCTAAAGGTGCAGATGTTTAAGCGCATCAGGGGCAGCGAGGAATGAGAAAGTTGTGTTCAGGCTGGAAATCACACCAGATTCGCTGCTGCAGGCGTGAATCTGCGGGTCTGCAGCCATCCCCTTCTTGACGTGACAGCGAGACTTCCCATGTAAGGAAGTCAATTTATATCAGTAATTCAACGAGACAGAGAGCATTTAAAGGCTCGGGAGCCCTTTGCAGGTGTTTTCTATTTGCAATTATACATTTTAGTTCATTTGTGTGTTGTTTCATATCACAGTGACATTTGAATAATTAATTGCATTTTTTTTAGAAATTAAAAAGCTGTAGTTTACAGTAATAATAACTATGTCTAAAATTTGATTCTATGCCTCATAATTTTTCATTCAAAAATTGCTCTAAGGGCACATTTTCCCGAATGATTAAAATGGGATTAATTGAGATTAATTAATTACAAAGCCTTTAATTAATTGGATTAAAGTTTTTTATCAAGTCCCACCCCATATATATATATATATATATATATATATATATATATATATATACTGAGGTTTAGCTACATTTAAACAAAAACATATTTTCCCCTGACTTATGCACAAGTTTTAACTTATTCTGAATCTAAGGGTCATAACAGCCTTCAGAATAAATGTATATCTTTGTTTATTTAGCTGAGATACAAACACTTTGTTCTGAGTGACCTCTACATTTTTTCATATCAATCAACATTCCAAATGTAACCAACAATCTGTATGTGTTTCTCATTCATCTCATTACCTTTCTTGAATATGTAAGGCATATAGTTACTCTGCTTTATTTTAGCTCCAGGGTTGGCCTGTCTGAGAACCAGGTCCTTCTAATCTGGTAAATCTAAGCAGTAAATCAACAGTTTATTATAATTTTGAAGGTGTACCGTCATCAAACAGTTTCACTTATATGTTTCATTCCAGCACAGTTTAATAGTGAAATGTTTTAAAAATAATCTAAAAAATGCATCTTTTAAAAATGTTATTCAGATATATATATATATATATATATATATATATATATATATATATATATATATATATATATATATATATATGCACTGACCACACCAGCTCTAGCATGCATTTAGGTTCCCACACAGAATAAACGAAGCACAATTTGAATTTTCAGTCTTTTGAAGTTTTTATACCAGCAATTCCGAAAAAAGGCAATCACCCCCTGGTTATTAAGTGTCCTTATTATTGGCAAATGTCATGGTTTATTAGTTCAACGTTTATTTACATACTATTTTCCCTTTTTAACCTGTAAATAGAAAGTTAAGCATATGTGAATAAAAACTTTAATAACATCTAGTCACTCAAAAACTGCAATCACTTCTAGAGTTTTGTTGTACTTATAGAACCCTTCTAGCACCTAACAGAAGGTATTAAGGATTTTCAGCTACATTTAAATGAATAATTAATGTCAGTCCAGGACTAAAAAGTGTAACGCTGATGTTTAAAACGGGCTGATGTTAACTCGCATGTAACCGTTCACTGATCCACGGATCAAAGTAAGTATTGATCACTTAAAACCCACAAGCCCCTAGACTTCATTAATATAACCCACCATTGATTTTTACAGGTGTGGGACACTTGTTTAATCAATAAATTTGCAGTGGTCTCTAGTAGGAATGAATGCCCTGTCATACTGTGGGGAAACAAAGCTCTGGTGCACAGTTTTCAGGAAGTAGATGTGAGCCACATCAGAGGAAAGGTTCAGACGGCAGTATTTGGAGTCTTATTTCCTGATATTTGCACATCTCATCTGTGATTGGCTAACAGCAACATGACGCTACCACTGACTTGCAGTGTTGTTTTATCTCCACAAACAACTCAAGCCTGAAGGAGTTGTTCATCCTGCATGAAATGTTCAGAGTGACCCATTATAATCAGATATAATAATTAAAAAAATGTTTCAGTCACTTTTATTAAACTTTATTTCTATTTAAGCTCCTTTTGGTGATTCACAGATTTCATTGAAGAAGTAAAGATTTTCCTCAGCCAAATAGATGCATGTCATAGCAAAAAAAAAAAAAATATATTACTAGTAATGCATACGCACCAAAGTTCAAAACAATAAATCAAAACGTCAAACCAACAAAAGTGAAGCACTCTTCAAAGCTGAGTGGAACTGCAGGTGATAATTTACTTTGTCGCCTCATTATAAGTTTCCACTCCGAGTCGAATCTGATTATTTTTTTCTGCAGAGTCAAACACAAAACAGCAAAGTGCAGCTTGGATGATTTCTCAACAAATTGAAACGTTGTGTTGTTCTGTATAATCTTTCCCATAAGAAGGCAAACGTCTCTTGAAAAACATGGAAAAATAATAAGCTGCATTAGAGAATTTTATTTCTTTTTAAGCCTTTGGGCAAAAAGCCATTTTAAAGCAATTATACAGTCTTGCTTTACATTTTTGCCAGAAAGAATGTGTCTTTTCTGTTAAAAGCATAAATAATAAATGAGGAGCACAAGAGCAACACTGTGTGTATCAATTATACGGCCATTCAGATGTATTCTGGTGTGATTGATGCTGATAAAATACTGACGGGTTTAGTTCCGCTCTAGTCATGCAGGCCACTCACCAGGTGTCAGGTCCATATTATTCTTGTCATTGCATCCCTGAAGGGAGTCTAGGGTCCGGGTGACTTGGCTAGAGAACTCTTCCCCACCATTCATGCACTCTCGCTGCAGGTGGTGACGCAGGTCTGTGATGTCGTACTCATACCTGAGGATGAGGAGGAGTTCAGTTACTGTTTTCATCGATCTGATGCAACTAGCATGCTTGATGGAGCATCAGATCATTTTCAAGTGCGACAGAACATACGGTTTATTGCATTCTTTTAACAGACTATAATTACCCCTCCCACATAATTCTATACCCGTCCAAAATCGGTGTTTCCCGGATGCTGAGGGTACCACTGGTGTTCGGCCCCTGACCCCTGGAGTTCCTTAAGCTCTCCCGGGCCTGCCCTCCCATCAGCACTGACGGGATGTAATGGATCTCATTAGCCGCCTCAGCGCTGGCGCTCTTCTGGGGCTGAGGGATGCGGCGGCGTTTACACCAGCGCCTGCGAGTGTACAGGATCAGGACGAGGCACAGGACGGACAGCAGAAGGGCAATCATCCCACCCTGAGAGGGAGAGCGACAACATTTGGAGCAGGGACAGAAAACAGGGAGGGGGGAGGAAGAAACAGGCAAAGAGTGTCAAAAGTGGGAATGGAGTCAGAGAATGTTGCCAAGTAGGATATGGATCAAAGTCAAAGTCGCGATGCCAAAAGCAGGATTTAGAAAAGGTTGCTGCTAGAAGTTGAGCAACACAGTGTTTTAAACGAGAATAAAGCTTGTGCCAAATGTCACACCTTCAACCAAAGTGCAGAACACGGGGCTCCAACTCATTTGCACCAACACAGGAACAGGTTAAAAATAGCATGACCTCTCACACCACCGAAATCAGCAAAAGAAACTTTTATCTACTTACATTTAAATAGTTTGGCAGTTTATGGAACACGTAGGTATGCTTTTGTTATAAATACAGTTAGGTGACATCATTTTGGCAGCTTGGCTCAGTGCATCAGAAGGGAAACACCTAACCAGACCCATTTAACCTCTTCCTTGGTTATTTTTCTGACTAACTTCCCTCACAGCATTGAATAAGTCAACTTATTATATTGAAGATAAAATTGATTTAAATTTCCCTTTTATTCTGTTCCAACAAATTCTGCATTCTTGTAGATAAAAAACAAAGTTTCAACAGCTGTTTTTCATTTTCTTTTTTAACAACAGAGCAAGGTTTTTTATTTACATTTACATGTTCTGACAGCATCTGCTGTCTTCCTCAGAAGTGCATCTGTTATTATAACAGAAAAAGTTGAAAAAGACACAATGAACTTCATAGCAAGATTCAACTGCCCATCAAGCTGGAGTTTTTTTTTTGTTTTAACTGTCATTTTGAGACATGGAAAAATAAATGTGCTTGCTCAAATGTTCATTTATATTTATATGTAGGAGATACTTCAGGTCCAAAGAGCCCAGTGTTTGCCGTTTGACTGACCCTGACTGAATTACATATTTTCTTTTTCCATTCCCCTTGCTGCTAGAAAAATTTATTTAAAATAAAATTCAAGAGTATAGAAGGCTTATGGGCCCACTTGGCAGTTTTGCTTGCTTTTAGCACCCCCTAGTGTCTGTTTAGTAGAACCAAAAGCAAAACGTATCTGCTCGCTGTGCGTTTGTGTTTATAACACTTTATATAATAGCTGGAATGTCTCCCCAGCCTTAATTAGTGTCGAGAGAAGCGATTCATAACCAAATCAAACAAATCAGCTGTGTTCATGATCTAAAACATGCAGGAAACATGCTGGAACCAGACTGCACCGCTAGGTATGTCAGTGCCTTTTTTTTTAAAAAGTCCAACAGACTGGACCGCCACTCTGAAGTTGCAAGTGCGGTTTTCTGGCCACAGAGCACGGTGGGGGTCAAAGTGACGTTTCATACCCTGTAAAGCAGGTGTGCCCAATCCTGGTCCTGAAACGGCCGGTATCCAGCAGGTTTTGTGTTTTTTCTGCTCCAACACACTTGGTTCAGTGGTTGGTTCGCCTGTGCAGCAGCTCACCGAGCTCTGCAGAAGCCTGCGAATCACCTGCTGATTGAAATCAGGTGTGTTGAAGCTGGGTTAAAACTAAAACCTGCTGAAAACCGGCTCTCCGGGACCATGATTGGACACCCCTGCTGTAAAGGGTCATTTTAGCACATACTGGCTCAAGAAAATGATTTGAAAATCTAAAAAAGTTGCACAGTATGGATTTAAATTGTCCTGTAAAACATGGTGAATCCACAAAGTGTTGTGTAGGTGTAGCTACTCTATGGAAACCTGTGTGTGTGTGCGTGCGTGCGTGCGTGCGTGTGTGTGTGTGTGTGTGTGTGTGTGTGTGTGTGTGTGTGTGTGTTCTGAAATGTGAAAATAGTCTAAATGAAAATGACATCTCCTTACACCCTATGGAAGCTGAAAAGTCAACATTGACTGTGAATATCATTCCACGCCGTGCATTTACTCTAGACAGGACTGAGGCCAGATGACTGGGTCAGGTCACATGACAACTTCCATTTAGCTCCTTTTCACTCTGATTTTAATGACTTATGACTCACTCCATGGGGTGAAGAAATATGACAACATTATACCCACAACGGGCGGGAAAGATGGTAGAAGATGGACAGATGAAGGGCGATGATCCAGCCCTGAGGACAGGTTGGCAAAGGGGACAGAAAGAATTAGACAATAAAAGGGGTGGTATGGCGAGAGAGAGTGGGGAAAAGAAAAGGCCAGAGCAGAGTCAGAGAATCCTGTCATGAAGCAGGATAGGGATCAAAGTCAAGGCGAGAGAAAAGCACACAGCCTGTGGAACCACTGGAGAGTGCAAAAGCAATTGTCAGTTTGGCACATTCACTGTGAATACAAGCACAAATACTTCCTGTAATGTTTTGACCTATTCTTGTTCTAATGCCATTATTTGCATTTTTATGGTTACTAAAAAGATGATTTAGCGCAGAAACATGAAGGATGAGACCATAGGTACGACTTAAGGGCATGCCATTACATGTTCAGCATGTGCAATTTACCTCTTTTGCATTCCTAATTTGATGCAAGCAGCGGGGCAACCAAATGAATAAAAATGAGATAAATTTAGCAATTTGGAAAATGTCAAACTGAGTTATGAAAATGTCAAGGTGACTGTACAGAGAGTCAGACGGCAGCAATTTGCCACTGGAGATGGATTTATTTAAAAATAGTGAATGACTGCCTTAGTCAGAAAACTTCTGAAATTAGACGAGCCAAAAGGGACATTCCCCTCTAGCTTTGTTGTTCAACTTATTGATTCATTCCTTACCTCTACACTGGACTTCTGTGATTTTGTTTTAATAGGAGGATAGTTATGTAGCGTCATGAATGTCCTGTTTTTGACCTAAAGGTCATGATCTGCTGCGTCTGCTCGAGCAGAGACATAAAGTCTCCGACACAGGCCTAATCTACATGAGATATTGGCCAAGGTCTTTCATGCCCTCTGCTCATCTGAACTGCTTCAGCTGTTACATAATACATAATCAAACAACGTTCGTTATTACCAATAATAATGTGAGCCCAATGTTCAATCATTCTGTGAAATGACAGTGTTATTACTTGATATTATAATCCTGTGATCAGTAGTATTTTACAAGTAATTATAATCTTGAACATTTGCACTAGACACTGATGACACAGAGTAATGCTAAAGTCACACGACACATTTCCTTTTGTCTGGTCCAATCAGAACCTTCGTTTCTGACGCGAGGCGTGTTTTCTGTGGTGTTTGTATAAGCCCTCTTTTGCATGTCAAATTCGGATTCACCAGTAAACCAAAATATGACAATTATAAAAACTATTCCACGCCACCTTTTCTTTAGTTCAAAGTATTCTAGAGAAGTCTCGGAACGGCCATCCAGACTTCCTCTTCAGCCAAAAGAACCTCGACAAGCTGGATAAAATCTGTTGCAAGTTACACCTGACCGCAACGGTTCCTTCAGAATAAAAGCTGAACCTCACGATCCCTTCAGGGTCTCGGAGACGCCAATGATAACCTGTCGTGACCTGGAAGCATTCCAAGACTAGTTTGGTTGGCACCGCTGCTTTTCTACCGGCTTCTGTTCCAAGGAGGGTCCAAGAGGACCTCGACATTCTGGATCTAATCGAAGGCTTCCCCTGGGGTACGTAGATCGACAGATGGCGTCTCATGTGTGTTAGAAATCTCCTACTAAAGTTTAGAGCGAAACATTCACTCCCACTCAGAACTAAATGCTTCTCTGGATCCACTGGTGTTGATAGCAACATACACACATACACCATCATCTCACGTCTCACTTCACCTTAGTCCATCAGTACACAGAGTGTTTAAGTTAGTCTTGTTTAAATTGTGTAGAAATAAATTTCTTAACTATTATGAACCTGACTCCCTTTCTTTCCTCAGAGTTAATACAAAGTGTCACATAATCCCTGCAATAAAAAGTTCTGATCTTCTGGTTAAAATATTCAAAGATCCATCAGATTGATATTTCATATTTCTATGGAATCTCACATTTTATGGTTAATAAGTAAGATATAAACTACCCATCATTACAGTTATGATGTAAACTTCCAGAGGAGCGATGTTTCTCTAAATTGAACTTTTCTTCATTTGCAACCAGTGAAGCCAGGACTGGCATTCAAAACTTTTATTCCTTTAAAGTGACAATGTGTATTATCCCTTGTGATAGGGGACATTACATAGCTAAATCATTGTAAGCAAGCAGTATTTTTGTGTTTGAGTAAGACTAACGGATGGTCATCAGGGTAAAAATCCCTGGGAGAGCAATTTTTGAATGTATGCTTTGTCAGATCGTTCAACCTCCACCAAAATGACAACCACATCAGACTCCCTTTCATCACTGGCAACAAGTAAAGAGGTAAATGTGTAAACCAAATGAATAAAATAATATTTGTAACTTGGTCAGAACACAACAGCTATGATTAAATATTTGGGATTTATGAGGAATACAAGGTAAATATGCATTTGTACTTTTTTTTAAACAAAACAATAGATTTGTCAAGTGCAACCAGAAAAAAAAAACAAGTGAAGACTTTAATTAGTATCCATCCATTCATTTATTCAGGGTTGGTTTATGAGGGCAGCTCCATTTTTTTCTTTCCTATTTTTGTGAACAAGACCCCAAGATACTTAAACTCCTCCAACTGAGGCAGGATTTTGTCTCTGACAATAATTTCCCCTATAATTCTGTAACTCAGGGTCAAATCCAGAAAAAAAAGGAGAAATGTGCAAAGGGCTGGGTCATTTCTGCATTAGAGGGACTACTTAGGAAGATCTAAAAACTGCATCATCTGTTCCGTATTCAGGGTTTTGGGGCAGTCAACATGGTTTCCTGACTGGATCTGCCTTCACCTGACAGCAGTGTGTCCCAAAATACCGGACTGGAGATATCTTTACCCATTGTAGATTCTTTTTACTGACTTTGTTCCCTGTTAAGTGATTATTTTGCAAAAAGGCGTGAGCGTCTGTGAGGCAAAACTATGCACCGCCAGATGCAAACAATCCACCATCCAC